CTTGGGGTCAGTTGGAAACTGGAAGAAATGATGACCTGCGAATAGGCCTCTGTCATCATAATAGCTGTTGCAGCCAAACACAGCGCAATGTTTTCCTCTTTTCTTCTTCGAAGTCGACGGAGGAGTATCTAGGTTATTATTTCCGTTGTTCATTATCCAAAAAACTTCGAACACACGCGAACGAAAGCGAATAAAAGCGAAGAAAGGCGTCATTTCCTGTTCAAACTACACCAAACGCAACACACGACTCAACTTTAGCCTCGATGTGGTGTTTGCGCGGTTGCTATTCCAAGATGGCGCCGGGAACTGTGAAAAGGGCTGAGTAGTCACAATTGTAAAATAATACCGCACGATAACGGATTCTCTCGTAGTATTTTATAGTCCTATTAAATTCAATTTAAGCGACATACAGTGTATTCAGCCATTTACGTTCCACTGAGAGTATTCAGAAGATAAAGTTACAATTACGTAACTTCCAGCTACTATACAATAACCGTTCATATGTCGATTTACGATAAATAAACGAAGGCAAAACTTAACACAAAACTTGAGAACATACCTTGATTATGGAGTATCATGAGCAGAGAAATCATGGGGGTTGACAGGAAATATTTAACTGATATAGCCATATTGAATTCCTCTGACAACATTCTGCACGACTGTCACGATAGATCGAATCACTAGGTTAAAGATCATTGTAAGGCAAGTGTGTCACGTGATTTTGTAATCGGTATAACACCTTTTTAGATAGAACAAGCCGTTGTCTCAAGTGCATTCTAGGGAACACTCGATTCCATTAAAGCACTTTAAACAGTTTTCTATGATTGTTCGATATCGAAACAACGACCAGCGACCGCAAAGAAATAACTTATAATCATGAATTACCAGTTTATAAACAGCGCGGTTGCATTTGACCCGTGTTATGTGTTAGATCCTTGCACTTGACCCGTCAAGAGTCGCGCAAGTTAATTTAGCGAAGGGCCGAAATGAACGTCATTGTTGCCCCTCGAGTTTTGTGTTTACTTTATTGATTTTTTTCTTTCATACAAATCAAACATCATTGAGAAAAGTTATCTCAATACCGTCCGAAGTGAGTTGCAAACACGGGAATGGGGGTGCGGGGGGTGCTCTCTATAACGGCTCCGCCCGGAAGGGGTACCTTTTGCAGGCTTCAGGTGTGTAAAGGGGTAGAGATTTCATAAGTTGAGGTATAAGAAAGGGTACGGAAATCAATCAGTTAGTTTTTTTAAAGGGCAGTTAATTAAAATGTTTTGAGCAGACGCACCTTTCCACGATTATCAGTTGATCACCAAGGTTCAACAATGAAAATCGTGTTGTTGTCACGGGCAACTGGCTCCGTTTCCAGCGGCAACTTGCCGGCCTTTGACGTCATTGGCAGCAAAGCGCGCGAATTTGTAGGCAACGTACGTCTGCTGATATTGTTACCAATGGAAACGAGGTAAGTTGCCCGTGACAACACCCCAATTTTAAGGCCAAAAGTTTGTCACTAATAATCGTAGTAGTCAACTGATAATCGTAGTATGACTGTATCATTAGGCACTACATGAAAATGACAAGAGGACTTTCTTTTTTGGCGATTTATTCATAATACGGGTTAGTTCTGAAAGTATGTGAAAGGTGTGCCTTTTTCAATTAAAGTTGTACGGGAGGGGTACCTTTTCTATCAGAATGGTATACGAAAGGCTAAGGGGTTGGCCTCGGGGCGGAGCCTACCCGTTAACAACATTGATGAGTACCCCCCCCCCCCCGGAGGTTTCAAAGAGAACGAGTTGTGATCGTGTATAAACCACGACGAGTTGATTTGGCCCTTCTTTAGCGAATTTTCTACATCCTTGTAGAACAGTCTTGGAACAATACAAAAATGCATACGCTGTGCAAAAATTGTTATTTGTTTCTGTTTTTTTCCTTTCTTTTTTTTTTCTTTCAAACCTACGGTGAATTTATAAACGAAACATAAAGGAGCCCGTTGAGTGGTCATACATGTAAATTTTCTTAAAACAATGATTTCAAATAAAACCAAATAACTTCATGCCAAATCGAGCCCAGGCTGAATAGGCATTAGAAACTTGCAACTCTGTACCCGCGCTCGCCAATTTTGTCATTTTTAGGGGTATAATCCATGGTAAGACACATGTATAGTTTGCTATTATTTACTGCCGTTAGTAGAATAGAAGTAAGGCTTGACGGAACTGCGGTGGCGGCAAGAGAGGTCCCTAGCAACGAGGTTGCGGTGGCGGTGGTAGTGACGTCACAACACCCAGAGGGATGACATCATCAAAAATGATGACATCGTCATCTATTTTGCGGTGGAATCTCATTAATTTTGCGAGGGAATAATGAATGTAAACGACATGACAATCTGAAAATAGAATTAGGGTGGTTATCATAGATCCAAAAAATGATGTAATAAAATTATTTTTTATCACAGTGGTCGATAGATTTTTCACTATAAGGCAGTGAAACTTTTGGAATATGCTAGTTTATTATATGGCCAGCTCCGTGAGCGGGCAAGATAAATCAAATCCTGCTCTGTGATTAGCTACCCGAGCGGGCAAGATGGAGCTATCTTGCCCGCTCGGGACTACCCTCCGTGTCCCGCAAGAAAAATTTCCCCGAAAGCCATACAATAAATCCTTTATTAACCAAGTTTGTTCGGTCAAGATGGCTTGATATTGGCCTCGTTCCTTTTTGTGTGTGTTTAATTCATGGGCCAAGACGGAACTCCGTCTCGGTCCATAAACAAGCAAAAAAGAACTTGGCCAATATCCAGCCATCTTGACCGAACAAGCTTGGTCAATAACCCATATATCTTGAACAGGTAGCTGAACCAGACGTTTGTTTCCTGAAATCATGCGTAACTCACATCGGCGTGGAAATTTACTGGTGGATGAAATATAACTTGAAGCACAAATTAAACGAAATATGGATAATGTTTTCAAAATAAGAGCGCCTTTGATCCGTTGAGCATCTCGTTCTTGCTATGGGACAAATAGAATAGTTATCGTGCCAAAAGCATCTGGGACACTTAACCACCGCAGTTACGGACATATTCCAATTTTGACAATGATGACATGGTTTCGAGGAGTCTTTGAGTGATTCCTTCTTGATCAGGGTCACTATCACTTTCCTCATCATTGCTTTCAGATTGACTTTCTTCGCCGTCATTATCGTCGTTACTGTCGCTACGGTCGCTGTCATCATCACCTTCGCCTTCGTTTTCTCCATAAACCTTTTCTTTTTCCAGTAAATCGCTCAAAATGTTCTTGTTTTTTATTAAAGGCTTGTCGACTCCTAACTCTGTCATACCATCCAGGAAGGAATTAAGCGCTCTGGGCTTGATTACCTCATCGTTGTGAGGGACGGCAGTATGTATTACACTAACTCAGCGGTGTTTGTTACGGGAATTATGCGGGGTTTTTTTGAAGGAGTTGCCCACGTGGGGTCCAAAACAGAATATCTTTGGAAGCAGCCATTCTGTGTAGCTGGTCAGAAGTCCTTTTTTGGGAAACGGTTTGTGAGAGATTCTCTAAAGCATCTTTAATTCGTGGTTCCTCATCGTTGCTCTGCTCATCGTCAGAGACATCTGTCTCGCTTGCTTCCTCAAAAGGCTCCATTTCGCTTTCTCCATTTTCTCCATCATCTCAATCTACCTTCCGCTTCATGCCCGACCCGTACTCGTCAAAAGCAAGATACGAAATGATGAAAGTGAAGAATGATCATCGCAGTATATTTTCCAATTTAAGCAATTGGAAAGAAGAAGCCTGAAAA